AATATAAAAAGCTAGAAACACTTTTTTTAAGGAAAAGGCAAATAAAATCTTAACAGTAAAAATATTAGATAAACTTATATTAGAAGTCGCAGCTGGAATAAAATTAACTATTTCTTACCTCATTAAACATAAGTAAGTATTTGAACATACCTAAAATTATAAGTATGATCCTCAGTTTTTAAAAGATCTCTATGGTAATAGTAGAATTTATATATGATTTTAACATTGGTATCTGGAAAGCTAACTCTGAAGTAAATTTTGTCAGTATACTTCTTGCCCGAGATTCTTAGTTCTAGATGAACCAACCTTATTCAGTTAACTAATATCGAAGAAGTTTTGCATTTTCGTTCAGAAACTGTTTATTGCTGCTTATATTGTTCTTTACCTGTTCTCTAACGTATAATGTATACCAAGATTTTTCCAAATGGTTGTAATTTATGGAGAAATCATTATAGAGTTAATATTTACATATATTAAGGAATTCTCTACCTTGAAAGATAATGAACTACTGATTACTTTTCTTACTTTAATATTATGAAAATTGTTATTGATTATATGCATGACATCTCCTCGTGGCTAATAGTATGGAAACTTACCTTAGAGGTTACCAGATTATTTTGGTTGTACTTTTCCCTGTGACAACTCGTGTTTGTGACTGACTATGTGCTTGTTCCTTCCATTGTCTTGATTCGTGTAGGTTCTTCATCACCACACAATTCAGATGATGAACAAAAAATGAATAATTTTATAGAAAAGGGTATAGTATCTTTATTTTAAAGCATTTTCTTTTAATTATGTTTAATTTTAGTTTACTTTGAATAGATTTTGACATTTTATATCAAAATATTATTTTCAGTGAAGACCAAAAGCAGAAAGTTTTCCAAGATGGTAGCCAGTGATATAGGTAGGAAATAGAAATTTCTCTTTTGTTTCTAATCCTTGCTATATGCAGTGTTACTCAACACCAGAAAATGATCTAATGCATTGCATTTTGTATATATTAATTTGTTATTTCTATGCTAAGCAATAATCTCTTGGGCTGTTTCTTCTAAACTCATTGGGGCAATAATTATTGAAAATCAGTTAAATTGGTGTTGCAGTTTTTTCCTGACTTACAATGTGAATTATTCTGTTTTTATTTTGGCTTTATTTAAAATAAAGCAGGGTTCAATTTATGTCGTAAATAGTACAGTTTTATACCAAATTTTGAGATTTTTCCTTTATAGTTTTTATTTGTATTTTCTCCTACCTTTTTCCCATCCTTCTCAAATTTTTACAATCCCCAATTTCAATGGTTCTCTAAAATATTGACTCTGTAATCTGCACTGCCCTGGAGTTAAATGGGAATTTTCTTAAGACTCTCCCCCCAAGCCCCACAAGTAAAACTAAGTGATGGAGAGTATTTTATATTAATCTCTTCGGCTGTTTTTATGAGTATACTTTGAATTGAATTACCCAGTCTAAGGTTTTCAAAGTTTAAAATTAGAAAACAAAATACATAATCAAACTTTGGGGATATAATCAAACTCTAGGATTTTTAGTTCGTCATAAAAATTTGAGTATTCACTGAAGATTTTTAAAGGCTTGAGAAGTACTGTTTTACAAAAAGAATAAATTTAATCTTCGATTTAAACCCACAATTTTTATTATACTGTTTTTTGTTATTTATTTCCTCTGAAATGCGTATCACGTGTTCCTTGAATTATATTAAATGAGGAGCATTTCTAGGCAGCTGAAATAGATTTACCTTTGGTCAACTGATAAAGTTTAATATATAGTAAAATTAAATTGCCAAAATTCTCAGAAGTAGCGTCTATATTGTCTGCATATTGTAAATTGAACCCTGTTTAGTCATGTTAACGTTGGCTGACTGTTAGCACGTCTGGTCATTTTTTAAATAAGATGGTTTATTCTTGGGCAAAGGGCTCTTCATATATGGGGAATTGATTATCTCTTTGTGGTTTTATAGTGAATCAGTTGGTAATAGTTAAATTGCTTTAATTATGTACTAGCACTATCGCATAATACTTTTCAACCAAATTTTTTATACTATATTTTGTCTTAATAGTACTTACTGTCATATAATGTAAAAAGTTGTAAGAGACCTTCCTACATACACTTTTGCAAAGAATTTTTATGATCTATCAATTATCTAGGAATTTTACCTTACATAAAAGGAACTTTGTATATGATTACATTTTTTTGAATAATTTCTCTGTCTGAATTTTGATCCTGTATTTGCTTTGTTAACTATGTGTTGACTAGCTCCTCTGTTTTTTTTCTGTTGTGAATAGAACACATGACATGGAATATCTGAGTTTGAATATTTGAAAGTTTTCAATTAACAAATTTCTTAGGATTAAGAACATTACTAGAAGGAAGGATAGTTCTTTGGTAATGTTCTTGCTTTTTATGTTGTTGGCAAGTTTTTGTTTTTGTCATGCCAGTTTTTACATTTTTTGGGAAACACATTGACTTTATTCACCATTTCAACGGTTAGGTTAGTTACAGTTATACATAATTATTTTACATCTTCAGAAACTACTGCTCCTGTTTTATATGTAATTTTGTTTGGTAATCTTCCAATATAGGTTTTAATCCCAACAGATTTACAAGAAAAGCTCTCTTCTCAATTTTTCCTTTGTTCAAATGGAGACTGCTCCATTTTAGACTGTAAAGTTTTTACAGTTAAAAAAAAAAAAGGAGTTTATCTTCCTACATTAGTGTCTAGTTTTGTAATAAGAGTTAACATAAAATATGCTATTGAAAGCACAATAAAATGTCAGTGAAACATTGCGGAGGGGGGGGTTGGAGAAACTCCTACAATCTCCTGAAGACCTCTCTGTCAAGACATATTTTCTGCGTAAAGTTTATGGTGTCAAAAGTGCTAAGATTCCTTGAGCATTCTGAGCTCACTGTGTTCCCTATCATGCAGTCCTGTACTTGCTCTGAAGTTCCCTGGGCCTCATCAAATTACCACCTCTTTCTTCCTCAGTCTACAGACATTTATAGCTTCAACTTTAGGAAGTTATGAAGTGGCCTCATAAAAGAAGGCATTAAGAATTAAGTCTAGACCCCTAAGATTGACACTGGTTAAAAAAAACAAAACAAAACAAACAAAAAACCCTCCTTGCGTGGGAGACTGACTGAATGTCTTGGCTCTGATACTTTGTTTCTGAAGCTTTACCTTTTCTTTGAAAGTAACTGCTGCCGATATTGGAGGAGTAGGGAGCAAAATGTCATTCTTAAACAATCTAACCCAAGCTTGGAAAATCAACCCCCCTTTTTTTTTTTTTTTTTACTGCCCAACAGAACAGCAGAGTTAGCTGAGATGATAACAGTATTTTAAATATGTGTGTGTGTGTGTGTGTGTGTGTGTGTGTGTATGTGTATACATATATATATATACTTAAAAATTACAATTTTTCTGACACTGTGCCAGCCCTTTATAAATAATATTTCTTATTTAACCCATTCAGTGTAACTGCATTGAGCTACTTACTATTTCCCTGTTTCACAGAAGGGGAAACTGAGAGATAGAGTGTAAGTAATGTATCTGTTGGTTACATATCTAGTGAATGATGGGACCAGGGTTTACACCCAGGTAGTCTGACTTCACTATCTGTCCTTTCAACACTGTGCTGTATTACCTCTTAAGACAATTTACTGGAGTCTGGAAGGATTCAAAAACAGATCTGTTATGTGGTTTGTAACTAGATATTCTGGTTATGACCCTGTTCTATCCACATAGTAACCTAGAAAAAAGGATGACTCATGCTAACTTATGCCCTCGTACCGGATCACGGTTGTCATCTTGGTGCCTCTCACCCAAACGTAATATACAGTGCCTGGAAGTTTACCTTTCTCAAAATTCAGACTCAAGGAGAGTAACTACAGCAAACAGTAGAGTCTCGTAACCCATCTACCCAATGCCCAGCTTCTTTGTTTCCTGGCTGACAGCTAACTCAGGTAAATGATACTGACAGTGACTTCCTTATTCATGCATAAGAACAGCAGCCTAAAAAGGCATAACTTTAGCCTTAGGAGTTCAACAGCAAAAATACAGCAGAATATAATGCAATTGCAGCATCCCTAAAGAAAGGTTACATGTATGTAATACACAGATAGTGATTTGTTTTGCCTGTTCATACTTGATGATTAATTTTTGTTAGTAAAATCTTAATGATCAGTATTTCCAAAATCAGTCTTTCCTGTAGTGGTAACCATTTCTGTAAATCATTTAGAAAATAAGAGTGGTTATCAATTTATTATTTGCTTATTATTTATATTTTACAAAGCTTTGGAAATGCAAAATTCTGTAAAACTTTTTGTTATCTTACGTTTGTATAAAAAGTCCTAAAATGTATGTCTTTGTTAAAGTGTTAATCAAATTTTTCGTGGTACCTTATGAATAAAATATGGTCCAGATGCTAGCATTGTTTGGTAGATTTTGAAACTACATGATCAACCTTTTCTAAAGATTATTAGTTCTATTTCATTATGATTCTCTTTCATTGTGAAAGATAGATTTCTAGCTGGATCCTGTCCATGTTCCCTATTATTACTAATTTTCATACAGAAGGAATGATTACATGAAACTGTGAGGGGGAAATAATAACTAGAGATTAAAATATAAAGATACAAAAGTGTAGTGACTTAATGAGTGCTGTGCCAAAACAGATAGAAATCAAAGCTCCATTTAATGAGCACCGTTCCAGACACTATAGATATTTTTCAGGTTGTATTTGTTAACCTAGGGAGGATTGTACCTCTTTTTAATCTCTCGGATTCTAGGTTAGCAGTTTTTTGGGTAATGAATGATTTTCTTTTTTTTTTTTTTTAATGTTTATTTATTTTTGAGACAGAGAGAGACAGAGCATGAACGGGGGAGGGTCAGAGAGAGGGAGACACAGAATCCGAAACAGGCTCCAGGCTCTGAGTGGTTAGCACAGAGCCCGATGCGGGGCTCGAACTCACGGACCGCGAGATCACGCCCTGAGCCGAAGTCGGACGCTCAACCGACTGAGCCACCCAGGCGCCCCTGAGTGATTTTCTTTTTTAGCAAAAACTAATTTTTGAAGTCAATTGATCAATGAAAATAATGATCATTAGTCCAAGTATTGTTTTCATTAGTTCTCTTTTACATGAGTCCCAGTGATTCCTTCTTTAAAAGTGTTCTAAGCCAACTTAAATGGATTCATAATCATTATATTCTAAATCACTAACTCATTAAATTCTATAATTTTGAATCTGCTCAAGCTCCCTTATTTTTCAAGAAGAGAGATTGGGCCTCAAAGAAGTTAAGTTGCATATCCAAAGTCATGTCCCATAGTAATGACCTAGTCAGGACCAGAATCCAGGTCTCTTGAACTCTTGTTTTACCTATAGCGTGTCTTCACTCGTATGCTTTCTGGCCTCTTTTTCTTGTGCTATTTTCCGAATTCTTTTATATTTACATTGAAAAATAAATTCTCAGAGGCCCATTTGGAGTTTGCCATGTGAATACGAAGGTATGCACCAACTTAATGAAGTAGAATTTTAAGTTACAAAGTTATTCTAATTCATGATAAAACTCAAATTAGTACTGATAGTTCTACATTATATTCCCCAATATTGAATCTCAAATGTGTGGCTGTTACTTCTGTAGAAGTTCATCTTTATAGTTAATCCCTCATGTGGCTTTTAGAAGACGAGAAGCTCATCTTGAAAGAGAAGATGAAAGACGAGTCAAGTGTGCAGGTAAGATTACTCTTCCTCAGTTTGTGAAGAACTAAATTGTTTACAGTTAGGTACTTTGAAACTATTATACATGTCTGAGTTTTTCTAATGAGTTCTTTTTCTTTTTCAGGATGACTAAAATCTGAAGAGTATGGCATAGTGTGTATTGGGTTTTCATTTTGTTTCCGAATGTATTTTCTGTCAAACTTCATAATAAAATCTCAGCAAAGTCTGTTTGTCTTTTCTCTGTCAGTATTTCCTGTGTATGCATTTCTTTCTCCATAGAACTGTCTTTTCCTTACATTGGAAGAATGTAAAATGATCTTCTAGAAGTAACTTCCTGTTTGGTTCATAACATAAAATCAGTCCAAGCTAAAGTTAAATTAGTGAAATAATTTCAAACGTCATCTTTTTGATGAATAGGCCCGTATTTAATTTGCGCTCTTTTTCTCTTTATTTCATTTGTGAGAAAATTCTGCTGCTTTCTGTAGAAGTAAAATTCCAGTGACAGTTTGTTTATTCATTTATTTACTCATTCATCACCATGTTCATTGACCAAACATTAAGTGCTATACACAGAGACAGTATTTTGCAAGATAGATTTTATTTCCAGACTCATGGAATTTAGATTTCAACATGGGAGATAGACATTGATATTATTAGGTCTGTTGGCTATTAAAATAATGTGTGATAAGTGGTGAGAATCTCTACTTCTTGGTCCTCCTTTTTCCCTTGGCTTCTTTGCCATATCCTATAAGTTGAGTTTTAGTTTCTTTATTGTTACGGGGTTTTTTTATTTAATTTGCATACATTTCAACATTTTGCTTGAAAAGAGTGGTTTCCACTCATAGGAGAGCAGAGACTCAGGTTTATAGCCTGCCAAGACACAGCTCTGATACCAGTTTTCTTCAGATTGAAGAAACTTTATTGTCATTCCTATCATTTCTTCTGTGGACAAAAGTATAGAAAAAGAGATCTGGTTTATACTCTCCAGTGACAAAAGATTTCAAAGCAAGGAAGATATTGGGTATAAAGAGCAAAAGTTGAAGAATGCACAGTTGAACATGAGAGGAGCAGACAACTTGTCTTCCAAGAACTCATTCAAATTATGTCTTCAGTTTGAAAGCTGCGATGGAAGTTCAGTAACTTCAAAGCATGCGTGGAAGTTTCTGTATACACGCAGTGAAATCAGCTGACAAGGTAACTGGGTTGGCAAGTGCTTCTGAGACCCCTGAGAAGTAAAAATGTGATCATCAAAAAATCCTAGATAGTCTGTGACTGCTTCATCCACAGAATGATCCCAGGGTACAGAGTGTCGGCCGGGTGGCCTGACTAGAGGTTCTTCGGATTGGATCTGCTGCTTGTGGACCTGCCATCAAGGAGGTTGACTAAACAGACCTGAAAACAAGTATATTTCCCGGAAGTCACAAAAATTCAAAGATAAAAACATTTGGCCTAAATTTCAACATTAGACCTTAGGTTTGGGACTTCGCCTTCCACAACTGTAAAGCTAGTCAGACTGGATGATGAGCTCTTCTTTCTAGGCGTTGAGCAATAGGCAGCGTAGGGCTGCCACCCTTGAAAGAAGGGGAAGTATGAAGCAAGCCCCACAACCTCTCCAGGTTTCTGCCGTGGAACACTTGCCTGTTGCAGTGCAGGGTGGGTAGAATTCAGGCTAAGGTGCAGTCCCATCCAGCTAGGGAGGCAGAGGTTAGAGTTCTGGGCTGCTAACATGGCTGCAGTGTGTGAGTTAGTGTGCTAGAGAGGAAGGAACCGCACAGAGGGAGACTCCTAGAGGTCTGTGTGCGGGTTCACCTCCAGTTCAGCTCCAGGCTAACACTGTACCTGAGCTAGACCGTACGTCACAAGGCCTAGCACCAGCCACCTGCTCTAAGGCTGAGAGCTGACAGGGATACCGGCAGTCACCCAGTTCTGGGAGTTGTTGACATTAGACCCTGCTGAGCACCTTGGTGATTCTCTTGATATCCCGACAAGGCCCTCCATAAGAGTAAGGATCACTTCTTAGCATAAAAGCCATATCCTAGAACTAAGTTCAAACTGAAATAGACCTGCTCTAACAAAGAATAAAGTGAAGCCTGATCAAACCAAAGGATTCTCCAGTAGTTTAATGGCAAGGTGTAGAGCAAAGCTCACCACCTGTGAAGATGGATGACACAATACAGACTCCCTTCAACATATTATCCACTCTGTCCAGCATTCAATCAATGAGAAGTTCCTGGGCATGTGAAATAAAGATTCAAAGTCAAAAGTAGGAAATTGTGACCCATAATAAAGAAGTTGGGGCATCTGGGTGGCTCTGTTAGTTGCACACCTGACTCTTGATTTTGGCTCAGGTGATGATCTCATGTTTCATGCATTCAAGCCCTACAAGACCTCCGCTCTGACAGCATGGAGCCTTTGGATTCTCTCTTGCCCTCTCTGTCTCTGTCCCTCCCCTGCTCTCTCAAAAATGGAAAGAAAGAAAGAAAGAAAGAAAGAGAGAGAGAGAGAGAGAGAAAGAAAGGAAGGAAGAAAGAAAGCAAAGAAGAAATTAGAAACAGACTTCAAGATGAACTAGATGCACAAATTAGCAGCTATGGATTTTTAAAGCAGCTGCTAAAGTATGTTTTAATATTGAGAAGAAAAAAAATGTCCATAAAGAGTGAACAGAGAGAATATCAGCAGAGAAAATAACAACTTTATAATGAATAAAATGAAGTCTAGTACTGTAAAGTTCGATATCTGATGCATAAAATTACCTGGATGAGTTCAGTATCACTGGATAGAGACTGTAGAAGAAAGGCTATGGAACCTGATGACAAATACAAACACAGTGTGCAATGCTGAAGATTTAAATCCCTTCCCCCTCCTTTTGCTCTTCCCCTTGCCAAAAGATAGACAAGTTACATTAAAAGGTAGGCGATAATCTGGCTTTAGATTTCTTAGCTATGTAGCTACATGCAAAGCTGTAAGAAAATGGAGCAACTTGAGTTTTGAGGAGGTAGAGTTGTGAATTGGGATTTTCTCTGATTCATGTTTTTTAACAAGTTTGTAAAAGATTATGTTTATATGCCTTTCTTTTAAACTTAAAAAAAAAAGCTGCTACTTAAAGACATACTTTAGAAGACCTTGGGATGTGGAGACAGTTGTACTAGAAATGATTGTCCTTTATGGAACTCTCTTCTAAGGAAATAATCAAAATATGTGCAAATATTTTTGTACATTTTTGCCATATGTATTGGAAAATACCTTATTGTTGAGTAAGTGTTCATATAAGTAAATATGCAACCATTAAAATATACTAACAACTGATGTAAGGAAATGCTTTTTTTAATAGTGAGGAAAAAAGCAAGATACAGATTTGTATACTAAATAAAAATTTATATTAAGTGGCAGGAAATATGGAAAATTTTGTCTCTTGATTGTGGGAATTCATGATGGCCTTATTTTTCTGTTTGTATATTTTCCAAAATTTCTGTAAAGAACACATAATTCAAACCTTAAAAAATTAGATCCGTGTGTATAGGGGGACAGTTAGAAGAGATTAATCTGATAATGCCTGTGAATCTATTAATTGAGACTTTTTCATCTAAAAATTCTAATTATAAACATGGAAGAAAGAATGTAACCTTTAAAATATTTTGGGAAGGTGCTCACTTTAGCACCACATGTTACTAAAATTGGAGCAACACAGAGAAGATAAGCACGGCCCCCTGCACAGGGATGACACACAAATTTATGAAGCTTCCATGTTTTAAAAAATAATAATAGAATATTTTGGGGAAAGATAAAAAAACATTGTCCCAAGTGAAAGATGACTTACACGAGAGTTTATGCCATGATATCATGCATATGAAATTCTAGACTAGGCAAAACTGATCAGTGGTGGGGAAAACACGTCAGAGCAATGGTTATTTCTAGGGACAAGGACAGGAATTGATTGGGAAGAATATGCACGGTCTTTCTTGGATCATGATGAATTTCTATATCTTGTTAAGGATTTGAGTTATGTAGGTGTGTACATTGTCAAAACTCAATATATATTTAAGATCTATTCATTTGTATGTAAATTTTACATAACAAAAATACCGCCAACAAAAAGGTGGGGAACAAATAGTTTTGTGAAAATGTACAAAGTCTACTCCTTGCTGGCTTTATCCTCATATCCTATGGTCTTAGATAAGTATTCCAGAGTAATAAGATAGTTATAAATTCAATGTACTCTAGTTAGCACCTCGTGCTTGCTTCTCTTAATACTTGCTACATTGCACTGGACTTATTTCATACCTCGAATGGACTGTGAACTCTTGGAGGGCAGGAAATCCCTGCCTTCTGGCACATAGCTGGCGTGTGCCCAATAAATATTTAATAGGTTAATAAGTAAGTATCCCTCGGCCCTTGTTCCCACCTCTTACCTGTAACAAAAATGTTTCTCTATTCTATTCGTTACAATTATTAGTTCTGTATCTTTTTTTTTATAATATTAATTGGTAAGTGGAATTAACAAAATAGCAAAGTTAATCTTTTAACATTTGTTATTTCAAGTTGTTTGTTCAAGGGGCTTGCTTAAAATTGTACCAAAATGTTACAGTAGTGTGGCTTAAATACCTGTCTTTGAAAACTATGATTGAGTTTGTGGTCAGGTTGTGGGTCTCCAGTTGCAAAGTGTTTTAGGAGGAAATATTAGACACTATAATTAAATCATTTTGTGACATTTATAGTAAAGTTACTACAGTAAAAAAAAAAAAAAAGCTGCCTTGTCATTATTGTGTGGTTCTAACCTCAATAAAATGTCAAAGTTAGACCAACGGAAGATTTATTTGAAAGTTGGTTAGTTATATTCAGAGATTTTTTTTTACATGATAAATTAATGCTAGACAAAAAAATATTGTATTTTATGGGAAAGAGTAACTTAAGTTTTTAAATATTTGAGAATTTTACATAAAAGGATTTCTAGTAGAAAATCCTGAGGGAGATTGAAAACATACACTTAAGAAATTCAGAAAGAAATTTCATGCTAGTGAAATTTTTTGGCAGAAATATGTATATGGTTATTGAGTGAAAACTTCAACAGATACATTTCTAATTGACAAAAGTTACTTAATACATTTTAATTTAATGAGGACGAATGATATAGCTTGTAAATTATTCAAGTCCTTTATCTTTGTTATGCTTAGCTATATATTGAATTTAGTTTTTGAAACAAACTTAAAAGATGTTGAAGTTCAGTGGTGCATTACTGTTCCATACTTATGTCCTAAAGTGTTTTTTTTGTTTGTTTTGTTTTGTTTTGTTTTTTTCCATTTTGTTGTTTTAGTTACTCGGAACATTATCACAGAATTAGACTAAAGGAATGTTGGGTAGTTTACAAGTATATTAGTAGCCCATTAGGATAGCATTTTACAATTTATTTAGAAATCATTGCATTTGTTTATTATTAATAACCAGCATTTATCAAATCCGTATTGTGTGTCAGGTGTCACGCACAGCGCTTTGCTTACATCATCTTGTATAATCTTCACAGCTATGAAATTGGCATTATTATCTATCCTTTTTTAACAAATGAGGAAATTTCAGGTTTAGAGAGGCAAAGTAATCGGCCTAAGGTCACACACACTTGGTAGTTGGATGAAGTGGCTTCCATCTCAGGTTTGATCTGATGCTTAATCAAGTCCTAACCACTACATTTTACAAACTAAGTATTGAAGCTTGTCCTGGGGATGTTTACAGTGAACTAACACATATATATGCATACTGGGTTTGCTCAATTAGTTTTGGTTCCTCTCCTGAAGTTTCTTTTGGTCTAGGGATCTGGTTCCTCAAAGTGTGGTTCATAGACCAGAAGCATTGGCATTTCCTGGGAACTTGCTGGAAGTGTAAGATCTCAGGCCCTAGTCCAAGAGTATAGAATCCGAATCTGATTTAACAAGTTTGCCAGGTGATTGGTGTGTACATTCAAGTTTTGGATAAGCACTGGCCTGAAAGAATAACTGGGTCAGAGTAGAGTAGTGGAGTCTAGAGAGGCATCGGCATCATCCGAGTCATATCTTTATACTCTACCAGACTGATTTTTTGAATACTTCAGATAACATGTTTATTATACAGATGTTATTTATCAGTCTATATACATTGTACCTATGATATTTGGTGAAAACCTTTGAATTCTTTTGAAAGTATTAATACTATATTCTAGAAGATGGTTTTGGGAGTATAATATCTTCTAATTTTAGGGAATTGGATATTAAATACAACAGCAACCATTTATATAAAATCAACTAACTGTAGGTTTCACTGGCTAGTTTTGTAGTAAATTTTATCTTTTAACTGACATTGATTACATCTGGGTGAAAATGGGATAGGACTGATTTTATATTTGACTCATTTTTATTTTTTAAAAGATGATGATTAATGAAACTTGGAAATGAAAACTTGATTTCCCCCACCCCTTCCCAGTTTGCCTAATGCCTCTTGCCTAATACTGGATTTGTCATTTTTTTAGATGTGGAAGTTATATACTATGACTGGATTTCTCTTTGTTTACATGGCGCCCTTATGGACTAGCAGGGTCTGTGCTTTAAGTATCTCTTAACGGCCCAAAATTTAACCCAATATATGCATTCATGTATTAACAAGTGCTTTTTCGGTATTTTACATAGGAAGCACTATTCTGTTATGCATGCATTGCCACTAACACAATAGATATAAAGAACTCCTAACTTTAAGTCACTTCCTAGATTAAGGCAATAACTGACTTTGAGGATGGAAAGTGAATTCCAGTAAGTTTATAATAGGCTTTTTTATTATTCTGATGCTAAATTAGAAATTGACATACACAGAGTTTATATTTTTGTAAATACCATAATTTTAGATTGAGCATGACTTTCGTCTTTCACTGACATGTAAATAGCGGTGTTAATGTATATCCAGAATAGGTGAACCCAGATAGTTTTATAGTCAAACACTTAAATTTAATCTTAGATAGAGGTTGTCCTATGTTCTAAAGATTAACTTAAAAAATAATGAGCTCAGTGGCTATGAAGATGAGCTGGAAAGGTTTTATTATATCGATTACCCAAACTCAGTCTTCTGCCTCTGTTGTCCTTATCTGCATCTTCCTACTAAGAAATGACTTTGCTTCTCTTAGAAAAGCCTAACCCTTTCCTGTGAGCCTGAGAAATAATTAACAGTTAGAATTTAAAAAGCTTTCTTGAAGTAAGAGCTTCACGCACACAAAGATAGTGTACCAAGTAAGTACAAACTTCTTAAAAAATTGAAAATAAGATTTACTTTCCACCCATAATATTATTAATCATATTTTAATTATCTTAGCATCTAGATGTAGTAATAAAAGTATTCACTTCTATCTGGAAGAGCAGTTGGTATTAATAAATATGAATCATATACTCTTCAGAACTTTAAAAATGCGTTTTATTTTTCAGCAAAGATGTCAAGGAAGTTAAGCTTGCCTACTGACCTAAAGCCTGACTTAGGTAAGTAAAATAAATAAATGAATAAAATCCACAGTAGTTAAACTCCCTTCAAGGGGAAGACCAGGAAATCAGAAGATTTAAAATTATGATAGACTAGATTTTTATCAGAAATCAAGTTTAAAAGGAGTAAGAAGTTTAAGGATTAATAGCCTCTAGAATGTCATCTGTAAATTATAAAAGATTATAATTTCAAGCAAACCAAAATAATATATTTTCTCAGTTCTCATACTTTATTCTAAACAAAATTTAGTATAAGATTGAAATTTGTGCAATTTCAGATTAAGTTCTATTAAAAGTTATTATGTCCCATTTAACTATCTGAAAACTTACTTGAACTTTATAAACTTACAACATTTTCACAGTAAATTAGTTTTCTGTATTACATTGAATTTCTCGTATCAAGAATCATTATTAATTTTGGTGATAATAAATTGGGAAGTATTCCTTTTTCTATAGCACTTTCTTTACAACTAATGCACTAGGTAAACAGAATGAATTCATTCACACATTCCTTTTGCTTTATACCAGCTCAAAAACAGCTCCCTGATATCACAGAATAGGGACAAATGACATTCCAATAAAGATAAAAATAAACTTGCAACATTTCTTTTTAAATAACTCACCTTTTTTTTAATTTCAGAAATCGCAATTATTTTTAATAAAAAGTAGACTGGCTGAAGATGATTTCACCCATCTTTGTCATAGAAATAACTAGATTTCCTCCCTTGCATTTGCTCACACCCATTATCTTTTCACTATTTATTCCTTAGATTCCTTGACTATCTTTTTAAGTAATACAAACTTAGATATTGGCCCATTTCACCATTCTAATTTTAGCATTTCCACGTCATAGTCTTATCTCAGTTGTACTGATAGAGAGCATGTGATTATTAGTGAGAAGGCATAATATCTTCCGTTGTCCGAGTACAAGGTTCCATTCCTGAACATAAGGAAAAACAGTTTAGTAGAATCCTGTACTAACACTGATGTTAAGGGAACCAGAATTAATTCTAGAGTGTAGGATAACGTATGTTTTGAGAAGGGAATAGTTCCCTTCACTATATAAATGACAGATGTAATTTGAAACCAAGTGAATCTGAGAGGCAGTTTTCATCAGACTAAGAGGCCCATAATTTCATTAACACTAAATACTGTGAGTTAAAATGTTTTTGTCTCTTCTAGTATCTTAAAAATATGAGACAACATATGTAGAAGTACTTTTAAAATTCATAAAAAGAGTATAATTATTTTTAAAAAGAATATTCACACTTATAAATTATGTAAGTAATGTAATCAGCAGGTATACTCCATACTTATTTGTAGATCATCTTTATGAAGTTCATGTTTTAGCTTACATGCCCATGTATTTCACTGCCCTAAGCCAATAACTGATTGCTACATACCTTGGAACAGTCTCTGTGCTACCTAAGTAACTTCCCTTCGTGTCATTGTGCTGCTAAACTATTTTTAGAGATTCTTAGCTGGTAATTGTTTTATATTGGCTGGGGAGTCAATGGGAAACAACAACTCTATTGATAGGCTCAAACTGTCAGATGTTCCCAAAGCAGCTGAAGCTGGTGGGACTATTCCTGCAGCTCTGGAACCTTCTGTGACTAGAATTCACTTTGGCTTATAAGGAAATTGTGCAACATTGCACTTGTACTATATCTTCACCATCCTATATTCTATGGCCCAGTCTCAGGAACCATGGGTGATATTGTTAGACCTCTGATGTTACTTTTCAAGTGTCAACCACCAGAGGGGGAGGAAAAAATTAGACTTTTATACCTTGATGTGAATTAGTTTTAGGTCCTAGAATTTACCCTGACCAAACTCATCTCTTGGCATTATGTTTTGACGGAGGGAATAAAATATTACATAAAGCTCTGTGGGAAGGAGAGGGGAATATACATAGGTAGAATGTTCTAAGCATCCAGAGTAACATGAAAGCAATAATTTTGTGACATGCTTGTAACACCTACAGTTGGATGGCATTAATGACAAATGTTATCTGAGTTTAGATCTTCCAGAAACACCCCATGTTCAAATATATTTTTTGTATTTAAAGACTGAACTTTAATTCTCAATAATAATCCAAACCCTCCCTTTGTATATTGGTGGTATGACTAATCCCTTGTTTATATGGAGTTGCCTAAGAAAGTTTTGGACTTGGACATGACTCAAGTCCTGACTCCTACTAATTAGCTTTGTCATCCTGGGAAAGTTATTTAGCCTAAGTGTCTGTTTTATTATTTGTTATA